TGTCACGCTTATATCACGCTGCTAACGAACAGAAAGGAATTTGGTGAAGTTTATTGTGTTAGAAGACTTATTTAGTTTGTAATAATGACCATCAGATGCAAGATGTGTTGTTCGGTGCCTCAGTGTAATCAATATATAAAAGTACGAATTTATCAATACACAGCTTCTCCGCAGTTGCAAAATTATGCATTGTGGAGAACATTTCAAAAATTGGGAAACCTATTTCCAATTATATGTCTGTGTGTAGTAAGCACTACGCAGAAAACGATTAAGAAGGTAATTTCATATCAAGAAAATATTTTTATGTTCAATCTATTTTCAATGCATTTTTTCATTCAAGGGAAATGGAATCCTAATGCAAAACTTCATTTTGACAAAAGGCTTCAGAAAAGTACCTCGAAAATGGTTTTTTACAGCGATTTAATGTGCGCAAGACGCGTTGAAAATGTTTTGTTGTGTCCATGAAAAGGCTTTAAAAAGAACTAGGGAGAAGGTAGTTTTGTGACATATCAAGGACATCTCGATAATTGCCGCCTGCGGCGGACATGGGCTGTTCTATAATAGTTCTATTCATGTGTGAACAGAACATCGCAGTGGGGGATCAATGTCTCGAAATCTCGTACTTTTAACATCTCTGAGATGTTTTTGTGCTCGCTGGGTTAGATTCAGCGACAAAACCACTAAGATGGCAACCCTGGCTACAACGATTGAAACTGACAATCCTTCTCGATTAAGAGACTTTGGCATAGTACGCGAAACCGTAGTTTCCCGGATGGAAAACCAGGTGAAAACGCGAAGGTTGAGTCGACGTCGTCATCAGATATTCAGAGAACGTTTTCGTTTTCCAATGACCTGGAAAAGCGGTGGGAAAGCTTCTTTCGTATTGTATTACGGAGAAATAGAAAATGGGGAAAGTGGAAAAACAAAGTTTGCCTTATAAATGGACGACTGTTTATTTAGATGGAATTCATTACCCGTTCTGCTTTCTTCGATGGAATGTCTGATGCTCGTATTGAAATTCGAATTTTCGAGGGCCAAATGTTCAATTTCGATGGAATCAAAGATATCGTTTTCTCTAACGTATTTCGTTTCCTAAAACTCCACAAGGATCGCGTATGCTTTTTCATGCAATCATCTTTTGTCTCGTACTCAAAATAGTATTTATAGAAGTTCTTTGAAAAATCAGCTCTTCTTTAAAATATCAAGTGCTGTTGATTCATATTGTCACGAGTAGAACATACGGTATATTAGTAATTTCGAACCATGAGGGTTTATGAACATAAAATTATTCAAATCATCCGTTGACATTGAACTATGAGAACTGACCAAGGAACTCTCATCAGAAACATGGAAGTTCAATAAAATGATGTACCTATATAAATATTGGATGTGTTGGTTCGGAAGTTAGTCTAGTCTGGGGTTAATCTTGACTTGACACGAGCTCGTCGTTATGATCATTATAATGTAATTTGTTATTAGATGTTTATATTCATTGTTGTTTATTCATATTTGTAATCACTATCCATAATGATACATGTTATAATACAAATTGTTTTGTTTGAGTATAGTCTCGTCCTTTCAGTTACCCCTAAAATATAACCGGAATGACAGTTTATGTCGTTTTATTGAACGAAATTATGAAACTGGTTTCAACTTTTCATTCTGCCTTCTCATACGGAATGACAGGAAGACGATTATGGAGGGAGTGTACGAAATGGCGGAAATGGCGGTATTTCAGATACTCTAACCTCGAAATCTGAACTAAAAATTGCCTAGAAGTGAACTCGCCTCAGGAAATATCTTGTAATTGTTCGCAATTCTACCCAGAATACTATCAAACATCTAAGGACTCCTGAAATTACTTTTGAATGTTGATAATCCATTTGCGGTAGGTATATTACATCTTCATAATAATTTTGAATTTTTGGTATAATAATGCTAGAAAATCTGAAGTCGAGTATTCCTGTAGATAACATCAGAAGACTAATACAAGCATAAAACCATTTCTAGTATTAAGGAATCAGTTACATCGTTACATATCAACGTATTTTGCCTTCTAATCAATGCAACTACTAAGGAGGATAACAAGAAAGCGGGAGCAACATCCATTATTGGACCATTATAAATTATAATTATGTACGGTTGAACAGCAAGATCCCGGAATTATATTATTATTATATCACCTAAAAAAGATCAGCTGCATGTCACAACTGTCAAAATACAATCACATCGTTCTCTTGGTTGTCAATTCTACTGCCACCAGTTGGAAACCAAAAAACGCACCTATAATATCAATGAACTTTTCGTAATCCCATACTGTTATTTTGAATCAACGGTATTCAGATGACAATTGAAATGTTAACAGCCTCCGCCCGTTAACATTGTTTAACGGCCGGCGGCCGTCAACTGTTAGATAACAACACGATGTTGAGATTTTTTTGTAGAATTACGAGGTACAATCGTCTTCAGAGAACATGTCGCACATAAACGGTGTCAGCTCTGTTAATTACCGCTGCAATAAGAGCGCTCATACCGTCCAACCACGACATGTTCACTGAAGACGAGTGTACGTGGTTTGTTCTTTCCTCGGATTCAAAATTTAATCTTTCAGCGGGATTACGAAAAGTATCGAACGACACACAGCCTTGTTACGTTAAAAACTATAACCATTCAACAGAAAAATCAGTTTGATTGACAATGGAACACCAAAATTTTAATAGACGATGAGTATTAAATACTCAGTCATTTTTTTCTCGATAATCATACCCTGACACACACGAAATACCCCGTTCCAGGTTGCCACTATACCTACCTAGAGTGGATCAAAAATGTGCACTGTTATGGATGAATATTTAACAAAAATGAAAATTTTGAATTCACTAGGAAGAGGTGCTTTGTGCTTTTTGTAATGTTGTGAACGTAGAGATAAAAAACAGTCGAAATAATTTAATAATATTCTTTGAAATTGTGCTAACGATTCAAATTCTAATTTTCGAGGAAGAATATCACCGTAAGAAATCGACTTTGGGAAACAAAATCGACAAGGAAATTTTTCGAACAAACACCCACTGTATGAATACGAATGGAACACTTCATTCTGCAAAACGAAAAGCTGTATCGCTAGGTAACAGTTCTACTTCCTTGGACTGAAAGTGAATCTTCAATGTCAGATTTTCATTTTACCGCTGAATTCCCTTGAAAGCGGTCTAGCAGAATACACCGTTTTATTTTTTCATCCAAACAAACTCGAGAAGTCAACTAGGAAAAAGGCATATACTCAAAGTGGTATGAAATGTAAAATGACTTTGAGTTTCTCTCATTCAACCTGAAATGGGATTTTGTGAGTGTTTCTTTCCTTGCCAGGTGGCGTTCGGCGTTCGCGTTCATTTCGCGGACGTTGAACGCCTCGTGGGGTATAAATTCTGAGATGCGTGACTGTTGGGCCCGGTTCGCACCAGATAGCGGTCAAGAAGCCAACTGGGACAGCCCTGCAATGATGAGAGCCAAAAGCTCGAAACTGATCTGCAGGTAGTTACGCGTTCCTGAACCACTTAGGTGCAGCTAGGCGTTCAGCAAGAAAACACTTTTTATTCGTCTATACGAATTATTGCTCAGATTCTGTGTGGAATATAGCCAGGAAAGTAGTTGTTTTCCTCTCGTTCTCTACCATTTTCGTTCATTTTATGAACTATTATGGTAATGACTGAGTTTCTCTCTTTTTTGTGAACTCAAGAAGTGACTATAAATCAATATTATATGCGTGTCTATAGAATACCGTAAAAACAAGGCATCTTGTTGAGGACAAAGATGAAACCGAACTGACGAGACCATCAAATCACTGTATTTTCGAAGAAGTATAATAGAAAAGGGATGCTGGAAATCGTAGTATCTCCCGATGGTAAATTAGCGGAGGGCCCTTATTGTTATATTTATCGTTAAGCGGGGAACGCTGACTTTTCGAAAGATCGTAAAATCCCTTTTACTGTTTTCTACTCTATAACAGTGGCGATGACTCATCCCTCTAGGAAACCGCTTCCTTATTGAAATTTATCATTCAAAGTGTTTCTCTGCTCTGTATAGGAGAGGGGAAATATAACGACGGAATGATGAGACAAGACAAAGTAAGGAATGCTGATATCGGCGTACAGGGTGATCTCTTTCTTCTTGATCACTACAAGGGATGTTGGAAACAATGAGAAAAAGGGGATTGGAACTTGAAAATGTTAAGCTACTCCATGTATATACCATCAGAAATATTTCAGAAATCCAAGATATCTCTAACTGTCCCCTTAATATCATCAAAAAACTGTTCATTGTTTTCTTCACTGCGCTATTCTGGAATTGTATGCATGAAAACACAAGAGATATCATCAAAAATTCAAGAAAACCATAAAATATTCACTTCATCATCAGATTCAGATCCATGTAGCGAATAGTAGGAACATTTTGTATTCCAAGCGGAAAACAAACTACACATATTTCACTGATATGGGTACATACTCTCAAAAATATACACTAAACGCATCAATTCGATTAGTTGGAAATTTATCATTTCCAGGAAACCAAGTCATCACGAAATCTCAACCTTGTTCATTAGTTATGAGTATTTCTAGCCGATATACTGTGCCCGTCCTAAGTTCGTTATTCCACTTGGTATATCGCAATGGAGTTCAGAAGGCCCAAACAGGAGATAAAAACCTATACTTTTTCATTTAAAACGACAGTTCAAAGTTTCAAAATACCGGCTGAGCGACACCTCGTATATCATTCTATTTTTTTAATCTCCTGATTCTCAACAGTTTTTCCCAATACTAAATTCAATATTTTTCGTTTCGAACGCAACCCAAATCTCGAATATTGCTTTCAATCTAGTTTGCCTTGGAAAAAAGTGTGCGTGGTAACACTTAGGTTTAAGTGCATTAGATGAAACTGTTAGGAATTATGAGGATATTTCGAAAATAGAATGTCATTCTGATTAAAAAAAAAAATTCAGGGCTCACCCAGTACGTTCCAGGTCCAGGCGTTGCATCTCGGCCACTCACAAATCTTTTGGTGATCGGTATGAAGTGTCCTTTGCAGTCAATATATCCTTGGCTCAGGTAATCAGCAGGACCTGGGAACAGTGAAAACTACTGGGTTTCTCTAGTCTGAACACCCCCAATCATGACTTCTTCTTATGATATTTGGCTCAATTTTCACCATGTGGAACATTAATTCCATGCAGTGAACAAAGGCCGAAAAACCCCAGAACCTTGACATTGTAGATTGTAGATTGTAGATGGGTCGTATAGGCTGGGACACCTCTCGATCACTGCGACCTAGAAGATCTATTGTGATTACCCCTATCTAGTTTTAGTTCTTAGAGAGGATTTTTTGTAAACGGGTTGCTGGCGGGACTTCATTGATCCCTTCACAGAACCTCCACCACGTTAACCCCTTGGATTTTCTCAATTCTTTGTTGTACTCTGTCAAGGCCTTCTTGTGTTCGTCCCAGTTGCCTGTACGTTTTGACCTATTGAAGAGTCGTCTGGCTTCAGCTCTAAGTGCACTGAGCCGTTTGTTCCACCAAGGTACATTTCGGTTCGATACCTTTTGTTTCACAGGACAGCTTTGCTCATAAGATTTCATTATGAGATTTGCGTCAAAACCTGCTCCAGATCCTGGATTCTTTCAATGCTAGAGTTTAGGTCCTCAACTTCCGACTTTAGGCATTCACGGTATGTGTTCCAATCGGTCAGTTTCGGATTCCTATATATTCTGTGGTAATCGTCCCTTTTGCCTCTATAGGGTTGAGTGGAAGAGCAGCTGTCGATTTATCGGCGAATTGAACTCTGCCTTTTGTTTCATTGAGACAATAAAAGCATTTATTATTATTATTATTATATCGAATCTAATGTGATTATGATTCGACAGTGAGGGTTCATCGGAACCTTGACATAAGATAGATCCAAGCTTGTTCTCCTTATTTTCCATAGGTACACAATGGTCAATGATCCCAAAAATTCGTTTTGGGCCGATATCTGCCGAAATATGACACTTAGAGAAGTAGGGTTTGGCATGAAATGGAGAGGAGTTCATGACCTTCAAAAATGGCCCCTAGGATTTTTTACCCTACACTGATAGTTCTTGCCAAGAGGGGGCTGCGAAAATCCGAGCATGTTCAAAAACTCCGGAAATCCAGGAAAACGTTTATAAAAATATAGGAAAGTTATTTATTGATTCTTCCGGAAAACATTCACCACCTATCAAAGGCATATTATCCAGAATACTTCCGTTAACCTATACTTGTTGATTGGAACAATATGAATGGATTGATGAGCAGGGTCAAATATCGAGCAAAAACAAACGAAAAAGTAATTCGATATAGCTACAAGTCCCTTCTTCCATCATTAGAACTTTGAATCATGAAAGAAGATGATTTTTTAACCAAGTTATAGGACCATTAATTGTCTACCCGCTCATGCCTATTTTTTCACGGAGCGTTATTTCCGAGGCGCGGCGCAGCAGCTCGAAATCCAGGCTACGTTTTGGCCCGTTTATCTCAGAAACGATTAAACTTTAGGGAAAAATGCTCAGGATCCTGAAGATAATAACCTGCTCTTATTTATTGTTCCAACACGAATTGCCTCAGCATCATATATTGGCAAATATCGAGGAAAATAGTCGGGAAAAACAAATTTTAGGGTCCATGGAGCTATTTTTCCTGCCCCTCCAGTCATTTCCTGATGGTGGACATTTTTTCATGGAGTAATCTAACCATGAACACCTACAAATTTGAAAAATTTGAAGGTATGAGGGTGTCAAAGGTCTTTAGTTATAATATTAGCTCATGGTTTATGTTCATCAGGATTATTTTGTTTATGTAAAAACTTCACAAATGATAAGATTTCCACAAAATTTTCAAACACACGACATGTTTCACTGTAGCTGCGTCAAGTGATATACTAAACTAACTCTGGCCTGGCTTGCCTAACTTTTATATATGTATACTACTTTCCCAACCTGAAGGATTAGTTACCTGTGGGCAGGTTCGACCAACCTTCATTTTCGGAAATTACGCAATATCTTCATTAAAATATACAGTGTACCGGATTAACTTGTTGATTTCTAATGATTCAAAATGATTGAGTTTCATTCCTTTATTTTCCACGATTAGAATTTCGAAATTATCATCAAAACTATGGTTTTCTTCGGTTTTCTTCTTATATATGGTTGGTGTTCATTGAATTTGTTTCCTTTTAAAAAAAAATCATCTTATATATGTTCATGAATGCGCTTATTAAACGTTCGACCCGTCTGACCGATATATACCTTAGGACAAGATCCACAGTAGTTTGTATACCCCAGATATTTCGAATTTACAAGTTTCATCTATATTATTTTTAATAAAGCTTCCCAACATGTCATTTGTTCTATATGCTACTTGTAAGTCCTGTCAATGTAGAAATGGAGCTAATTTTTCAGTTGATGATCCGAAATAGGTAAAAGTTCTATAATTTTGATTATTAATCTTGATTAGCTTCATTTCTACATTCGCCTGATTGCTAGCTTCGGATAAGGCCTCGGCTATCAATTTGTAGAATCGAATATAATAGACAATGTCTCGTCCTTGGTACATGGATAAACATTTTTTGGTCAACTCACTAGGATTATTATAGTTGAGGCTGTCCAGAAAGCCACGTTTCCTATCTACTTCGTTGAATGGCAATGCCAAGATGTTGTGGGACTGTCGATTCTTCGTGTAATTGAATGAGTCAGTTGGATTGTAATGGGCTGGACTCATTTCATTCTGTAAAGAAGAATAAGGGATTTCCACTGTCATATCAAGAACTCTACCAAGCTCAGAAGTTAGTACAACTGTTTAAATAACTTCCTGCCAAATCACGATATGAAAGAACATGGTCATAATCTCCAATTCCTGATTGGATCATGACACTGAATATTTTTTTTATGAATTGTCAGCTTCTCAATACCCTTTACTATAATCACAGCCGGCTCTATAACAAGCCGTGGTGAGATAAATGCAACACCGCATCGCCGTGGTCCGGAAGGTCTTCTCTCGACTAGCTAATACCATCATTTTCTGTCTTCGAAATGAATAACTGAACTGTCATAAAAATAAAATTGCAAGAGATAATGGGTCAGGTCACAGTTCAGTATACAGTTTCATGGATTAAATAAGCAACTGGCAAGTGCCATTTTACATCAACCATTCAAGTTATTGCTTGGAGAAATATTGAAGTTGGAAGATAGTGTTGTACTTATTGTCATATATGTCATGAGCACCGTCCCTGACAGGACAACTAACGTGACTGTCATGTCAGTCAGAGGACTCGACACTCAATAGAATCTAATTCATTTCATACAACCAATATTATTGCACATATAACAGAATACCCTAGAATATTACATGGTGGCAGCGGTGAGATTCAAGCAAAATGAAATGATATTGGTAGAAAACTCAACTGAGGAAAGCAGAGTAGAAGACCTCATCCCATTGCATAAGCTTCGCCCAGAGAGGAGAGAAAGTGAATCATCAGAGGAAAACAGAGTAGAAGACCACGCCTTCATTGCTCAAGCTTCGTCCTGAAGAGGAAAGAAAGCTGAGATGTCTTTCAAACAGCCAAATGGTTTCAACCAAGGCGAAAATCCTGCTCAAAGCTGGTAAAAATCGAGGCAGTCATTCCAACTTCACATGGAATCAAAACAACTTGATGTTAAACCAGTAGCTCAACAAAGAGCAACGGCTCATGCTGCAATGATACGAGTGGGAAATTAGCATTCCGTGCGAGTCATCAATTATATTTTTTTTTCGGCTTGTAAAGTAGACAGTAGGAGACAGAGCTGTCATTGCTTGAAATTTGACACTCCTTAGGCGATGAGATTATTTCGAAGTAATAACACATTGAACCAAGAAGAGTGAATGTAAGGATTTGGGAACTACGCTGGATGAAAAACTCAGCTTTGAGCAACATGTGACCAACATTGTGAAAAGAGCATATAGAATGCTTGGATTCATTATTAGGAACTCATTTAAATTCACAAAAATATCCACGTTAGTAACACTCTATAATGCATTTGTACGTAGTATTCTGGAATATGGTGCCATAATATGGTCTCCCTATATTATTCGGTTCATAAAGATGGAATTGAAAAGGTACAGAAAAAATTCTTAAGATTTCTGTATTAAAAAAAGCATGGTGAATATATTTTCAATCTCAGTTATCATGCTTCCTTGAATGAATTTAAATTCACAACTTTAGAATTTAGAAGAAAAGTTGCTATTATAGTATTTTTGTTTAAGCTACTGCATAATGAAGTAGATAATCCACAATTGTTGACACAAATTTGCCTGAACTGCAGTACATATTTCAATAATAGAAGAAGAGATATATTTGTTTCGCCTAAACCTCGAACCAACCTAGGTTTAAATTCCCCACTATACAATATGTGTTCTCTTGCAAATTGTTTGAGGATAGATTTCTATGTTAAATGCAATGAAAGAACATTTAGAAAAAGAATTGAAATTGAGATATCATCTTCAAAAGTAAATGAGAATTGTAACTGAAAGCCAATTTAAATGAAAAAGGTCCATTTGTCAATGTCAATTTCAACTAAATGTGTCTCTCAATTTGATTGTGATTCAGGTCATTTGGAGTTAATTTAGTTTAGGGCATCATATTATTTTGAGAATGGTGATTTACTTAGTTTTAATATTGTGATCGATTATTGGAACTGCCTGTTCTGTAGATAACTTAAGAAATAAAAAAAAAATAAAAAGTCATCGTGATATCAGATACGGAAATGAAATTGATGACTCACAAAGTACCTCATTGATGTATGTAACATAGTAAAACAAGAGCAATTTTGTGTTATAGCCGTAGAAAAACGAATTCTCTGATCTCTGATCCGTCAAAACCTACTCCAGAAAGTTTTGCATGTTCAAGGGACAGAGGGCATAAATAACGAACAAGTTAGTATCAGAGTGATTCGGTGTTGTCAACGCAGAGAAAGCCTGTTAATTGAAATTTATTGTCTCGCCCTCGATTGTTTTGCGTCCGTTTAGCAATTACACGATGGCGACAAGGGGAGGATGACGTGTTTGTTTTCTGACGTAACGTTTTCAGACCACTTCTACACTCGCTCGCCTACTTGATCTCGTTCACGGTTTTCAATTTTAGGCGGAGGTTTCGGTACCAAGGCAACGATCCACATACCCTCCACCGAATAATATAAAATAATCGAGTAGAGTCTACCTACTCGATAGACTATAGTGTTGTGAAATATACTGGTCGAGTTCCGATATTACTGAAATCTATGACAGTCAGTAATAACGGGACAAATTGAGTTTCAGTAAACTACTATTATTGAGAAATAACGGAACAAATATCTAGCAGTATTATTAGGGAGATATCGTTGTTTGGTGGCAAAGTATGAAAATGAGAATAATAATTTTTTTCTGTGAAGGGAAAAAAGTTTGGCATTTCATCTCTGTTGGCAGGTTATAAAATGTCACTTTTCTTCGCTACGCGTCGGGAGACAGCACAACCTGGAGCTAAGATCTAGTACTTTTTCCCTTGTATAATAAATAACTATATCTACTCAAGTTTTATGTATGTTCTCTGCTAGCTAGTTTTCTCTCAAACAGGTCTCTCCATGTAGTGGTGCAGACATATTTCCAAATTTAAAATTGAATCAAAAAACACACGATTTCATTACTAAATGCATAAAATTTATACTTTGCCATCTACTGATTAGTCCCTGCGGCTATTTTTATGACTTGATCGATTTAGCATTATAATTTTCTAGATTTTTTGTTATTGTTGTTGTCACGTTATATTATTTTATTATTGTTGTTTGTAATCAACTTCCTCATACCAGAATTTCATTTCCGACTGGAAGCTAGTTTTTCAATAAACAATAAACAACAATAAACAACAATAAACAATAATATCAGCAATAACCTCTCTTGGGGAAATTACGTGAGATCAATTGCTAAAAGTGCATCCCAAAAACTTAGTTTCCTGTTTCGGGCCAGGAGCTATTTCATTTCCAGTCAGCTGATTATGATCTATAAGGCACAGATCCGACCTCTCCTGGAATACTGTTCGAATATTTCAGTTCAGCACCCAAACATACCCTGAAGCTGTTGGATTCTGTCCAAAAATGGGCAATTCGTCTCGTGAGTGATGCCTCGCTCACAAACTCACTCACTTCTCTGGAACACCGTAGAAAAGTTGGCGATCTGGCTCTATTTCATATATATGTTCATGGACGATGCTCTTCTAAAATATCAACAATCGTTCCTCCCTTGGCAGGCCCCGCGAGATTAACTCGTCGAGTTGAGGCTTCGCACCCCTTCGTGGTCACTTTGGAGACCTGCAGAACATGACTTTCCACTCGTTCATCCAACGAACAGCGAGGCTCTGGAACACATTGCCAAAGGAGGTGTTCCCTAAGGCATATAACCTCCAGAAATTCAAGAAGAACACCAATTCCTACCTTATTCCCTCATTTGTTCTCACGAGAAGGGTTCAATCAAATGGATGACATTATGGAAGTTGAAGTTTCTTAACTATATCCGGATACATTGTTCTTTAAATCAAATCATAATCAGAAGGATTATAGTGAAATAACGTTGAAGAGACAAAATTTAGATCTTGAATCATTTCATCTACTTATCTCCTCAATAAAGAGCCTAACAAGATAGGGAAGGACAAGTATCGATACTTGATATCTCTTTGTCAAGGAGTAACCCCAGTTGTCAAAGTAGCTAAAAACAGAAACTTTCAGGTTTTCGTTTCACACAGTGACAATTGAGGTGGAGAAGCAAAAATTATCAACTTTGTATTGTTACTTTATGTTCTGTTTTTTTTTTCTGATGATTGCAAGATTACCAAAGGTGTTGTAAGCCACATTTCGTTTATTTGAAAAAGTGACGTAAGTGACCAAACTATATCCCTCAATGAAAACATTATTGGCACAAAGTGGCGTATGTCATTTCTTATTAATTTTTGAAGGTGCTGAAAACATTTGCCGTTGCAAGCACAAGTGCGTATATACCTACTCATCTTGAGGTACCTACCTGCAAGGTACGAATTGAAATCATGGCCTCAATTATTATCACGAATATCCTAAATAGTTAATCAAAAACTTTGAAAGCTTCTCCTGGAAAAGTATGAAATATGAGATACACCACTACGTATTTTGATGGACGATAATTTGTATTTGTATATTCGTATATTCAACAATTGAAATAGGACTTATATAACAAGATAGGTATTTCTTCAGTGAATTTTCATAACTCTTTTTTCCTTTTAGGAAGTTTTTTTTTGTTCTCAATATTACATTCTCTATGTTCTTTGAATTGAAACTCTTTGCTATGAGATTTTTGTATTTCTGGTCAGCAAATAACGGGAATAAAACATAAAATCTTGCTTCCAAAATCTCTGAGATGGCACAAAACCTTCCGACTCTGGTGGGGTGAAACTAGAAATGTAATCCACTTCGTTATCAACACACACGTGCAAAAAGAAAACCGTTTTGGGCGATGGTCAGGTCACTATACAAACACACACACACGTCGATTGTCGATTATGTTATGTTATGGTTTTGACGGGGCCATATACGTCCGGTCAAATTTAATAAACACGATTCACTACCTATGTCTAGGTGCATATGGCATGCATATTTATTTTTCCTGTTTGAAAATCGGGTGCACTATGTAAATACAAGGGTGTGTACCTATACGTAACCTATTCGTCGATGAATTTACAAAGGGGCGTAAAT